CACTCACACACACAGCACGCTCAATCCAACGCCGCAGGTCATCGGCCTGGCTGCGGGCGAGCCTGACTTTGACACGCCCGACGAAATAGTGGAGGCGGGCATAGAGGCGCTGAGGGATGGGTTCACGCGCTACACGCCCAACACCGGGACCAGCGCCCTGCGCGCCGCCATCGCCAAGAAGCTTAAAGGTCGGGGTTTTGCCGAGGCCGGGATGATGGACACGCACCAGCAATGCACTCGCGTGTGGCTCTGTGCGCATGTGTCTTTACATGGGGTGCACGGAGATTACATGGTTTTCTATGCGTGATATGAATTGCGCAGGAGCGCCAGATGACAACGCCCACGGGCCCAGGGAGCTAGCAGCGGGATACAGCGGCCAGCGACAGCCGTCGAGGTAACGCCGATATGTCATCGGCGAGAAAGCAGGCGGTGTGCCGGGGCGCTCGTGGCAGTCGATGCCACGTCTGATTTAGTCGAGAGAATCAGCTTTGTGTCGGCGCGAGGTCGCACATCCCAGTGCACCCTGCCCTCAACACGCGCGCGCAACCCCACCAGACGAGAACGGCCTGGAGTACCAGGCGTCCGAGGTTGTGGTGTCCAACGGCGCAAAGCAGTCCATTTGGCAGGCTGTGCTGGCCACTGTGTCACCCGGAGACGAGGTCATCATCCCGGCACCTTACTGGTGAGTTGGGGCGGTTGCATGGGTGGGACTGGGACAGCTCTGAATCACACTGTAGTGGGGGCACCGGTGCCCGTTCAAGTGTCACCCTCGGGGGGATGTTGGCAGAAAGCAGCGTCGGCTGAGGCCGCAGCTGTCGCAGCGAGCCACTTGGAGGCCGTGAGGACACGCCTGCGTTGCGCGCTGGCATGGTGCGCAGCTCCGAGGGCTGGTGCCCCTGTTGTCACAAGATAAAGCACGCGTCTCTTGCCCCTCAGCTGACGTCTACAATTGACCACGCACTTTTGGACCCTGACGACACAGCCGCCGCCCCCCCCCCTCGTGGCCCCGCAATCACCCCCGCAGGGTGTCCTACCCTGAGATGGTGCGGCTGGCGGGGGCCGTCCCCGTCATCCTGGACACCACCCCGGAGGACGGCTTCCTGCTGACACCAGAGGCGCTGGCGGCGGCGCTCACGCCGCGCTCGCGCCTCATCATCCTCTGCACGCCCTCAAACCCCACGGGTACGGCGGCAGTCCCGACACGCACGAGGCGGCCTCTTTACCGCTCCCCAACCCTGAAGGGCCCACCCCTGCCGTCACATCCACGCGCCGTGGCACGCCCAGCTCCTTGGCATGCGCCACCACAGCCGCCGCTGCGTCGGCAGCGCATTCCTTGCAACACGCATTCCCCTTCCCGCCACCGCAGGCGCCGTGTACCCGCTGCAGCGCCTGCAGGAGCTGGCAGCCGTCGTGGCCCCCCACCCGCGCCTGCTGGTCCTCAGTGATGAGATCTACGAGTGCATCACCTACGCGCCCGCGCAGCACCACAGCTTTGCGGCGCTGCCGGGCATGTGGGGCCGCACGCTCACAGTCAACGGCTTCTCAAAGGCGGGTGGCGGGGACGGCCACTTGCGGGGTGGAGCCGCTGGGTTGTTGTGATGGTATGGGGTGCCTGGAACCGCTCCTGTCTTTGTGGTTTGGGCCAAAGGGCGTTGTTGCGCTGCGCAGGTACATGCGGCGAGGACTGACCGGGGCATCTTGCCTTGACCAGGCCAGCGGCACTTGCAGCCCCTTCATATTCATCTAACAGAGGCTCCCCCGCCGGAGACACCGTTGTGCCCATACTGATGGATGATTGCTCCCAAGCCTGAACCCACGCCCCAACCCTTCTTCAAACACCCCCGCAGGCTTTCGCCATGACGGGGTGGAGGCTGGGCTACCTGGCGGCGCCGCAGCACTTTGCCAACGCCTGCGCCGCCATCCAGTCGCAGTCCACCAGCGGCGCCAGCAGCATCGCGCAGCAGGTGCGCACTAGGCTGGCAGGGTAACAACCCTTGTGGGCGCTCACCCACGGGCGTCGCCCCCCCTTTTCCTCCACCCCGTGACACATGAACCACCGCCCTGGCACAAGGCAGCGCTGCCCCGGGCACCAGCGCGACGCCTCCCAACCACCCACCCACCCGACGCAGCGGCTCCCTTGTGACACCCCCGCCCCTGCAGGCGGCGCTGGCTGCGCTGGGCCTCGGCCTGAGGGGGGGTGAGCCCGTGGCGCGCATGCTGGCGGCCTTCCAGGAGCGGAGGACCTACATCGTCGGGGTGCGGCAGCAGCGGGGGCGCCACAGCGCCACGGGGGACGCAGCGTGGCTCCGCAAATCAACACTTTCAAGGCGTGGGCCTTGCTGCACCCCCTGCCTGTGCCGCCCCTGGGCAGCGCTTTTGTGCGCCTCCTCCGCCGGCGCCCCGTGCCCTGCGCCCTGTGCCGGGGCGCCCCCACCACCTAGGCTTGTGTGGCCGTGCGCCTCTCCTGACGCCCTCGTGCCTCGCCTCTTGACCCGCCCCCGCGCAGCGCCTGAGGGAGATCCCAGGCATCAAGCTGGCAGAGCCACAGGTGGGTCTGCAGCCCCCCGCCTCCCCCTACCCCTGAAGCCTGCAAACCTCTTCCTGCCCGCGGCCCCCGCGCACGACGCCCCTCCTCAACACCCGCGCCCGTGGGGGTCAGCTCTCACTTGCCAGGCAAACGCCACGTCAAACGTCACGTCAGCCGCACAAGACACTCTGCCTCAGCTCTCCGGCTCCACGCCTCCCGCCAATGATGCCCTCCGCCCGCGCCCACCCCCCCCAAAAGGGTGCGTTCTACGTGCTGCCCGAGATGAGCGCCTTCTTCGGCCCGGGGGCTAAGGCCGAGGGCTACGGCGCCGTGCCTGACGCTGACGCGCTCTGCATGTACCTCATACAGGTCGCACACGTGAGACACGGGCGCCGCGCACACGGGAAAGGGGGGCCGCCCGTCTAAAGGGATGATGCGCGCGCCGCTTGAAGAGGGTCCGAAGGGCTCAGGCGCCCAGGCACCACCAACACCCACCGCACCAACACCCGCCGCTGGGCTGCCGCTCCTCGGGCGCGCCCCGCCCTCAGCGCCTGCCCGGCCCGCCAACGCCCACGCCCACTCGTCGCCTTGCGCCATCCCCACCCCGAACGCTCCTCGCCCTCCCCCCCTTCTCTTGACTGATGAACCCCTTACAACACCCATGTATAGCCCACTCGCCCACTCACCC